GATGTCAGCAGTGGGAGGTAAATAATCAATTAAGAGATTCTCTTTAGCTTTAACAGAAAAAAATTCCATGGTATTTGGTTGGCCTTTCAAAATGTGATCTATTTCCTTTATGGACTTCCTGAGGGACAAAGATGTTTTTCACATCACAAAGATTGATGTTTGCTCTCATGCTTGCAATACCTGCATGAGGCATGGCTGTGCGCTTTAGCTTTCTGTTGCCAGTCTAAAAGTATTTTATGAAGGCAGTTGTGTTGGTTTTAGTTTTCCTATATACTGTAGTTTGTAACTTCCATAATTATATTAACTAGGATGCTTAAAAGTGATAGTGGTTTAGTATTCCAGCAACCGTTTAAATGAGAAGTAACTGTTACTGAACTTATGGAAATAAAAATAATCCAATGAGTCCATGATTCCAACCCAAATAATAAAGGCATACCTATAATACACAGATGACACTACAACTATTTTAAGTCTCTCCAAGAGACATAGCATAAGATGTTGGCATTCAAGCTGGTGACCTTAACTATGTTTAAGCTGCTGATTTACAGCATACAAAAAGAAGATATCTGTGATGCCTTCACCTTACAGCAGGTTTTCCAAAAGGGATATAAGGACTGTTTTGATGAATCTCGAAAGGATTTAAATGCAAGATCCTCACTGAAGAATTAGGAGTCTACCACAGTTCTCTTTCCTTGTATGCTTTGGAAGGTATGGGGCTGGGAGGGAAAGCAGTTAGGGTGGAGGACTGCAGGATTGGGTTGCATAACAGAGCTGATGAGTAAGTAATTTGGCATCTTTTAAATTCCAAGATGAAAACATACCCAGCTACCACAGCATAAATATTTCCCACTGAATTACTTATTTCTTGCCTTTTAGTCATGATGCTCAAGAAAGGCCTATAAGGCAGTTTGAAAAGATGAGCTTGAACAACAAGTTTTAAATTTACTAATGTGGAAAAAAATGCCGACAATAGAATTGATAGTTTTTACAGCACAGTATGATTCTCCTGTCCTCTACAGACCTTCTGTATTCTGCCAAGTACAAATTACCTCCCTCCCCTTTGTAAACTTAAGCTAACATATCCTGTATTCACTGCACAGGTACCAACTCCCTCTTCTACAGAGGTTGTGCTTACAGATGTTGAGCCGTTGCTTAAAGTTTAAATTAGCTTATCACCTTAAATTTAGTTTTTAAAAGTTCAGACCACAGATGTTTAAATCACACAAGTTGATCAACAAAATCCCCACCAAAGTGTATTTGTTAACAAATCCATTTTCCTTCTTACTGAAGTATTTCTGTAGTGGCACTGACCACTTCAGCAATGAAAAACAACATTTTATCCAGGTTGCTTTACCAGCCAAAAATAAGGCAGTGAAGTGTAACTATCCAGAATTTATGCTAAGAGCTTCTGACTTGGAGTGGGGTCCAGCAGACAAAACAGGAAAGTTTAAGGACCTGTGCTGATGAATGACTGATCTAACTTCTTCAGCCAATGTAAGGTGCAACAGATTCCCAGATGTCATCTTCCCTGGGCTGCACACTTTACAATGAAGTGGTCCGGCAAACTTCACATTTCTAACCTACCAAAACTCCAGAAAGCCACTGTGCAGAAATACATACCCTTCTGCAGCATCGTGGTAGTGTGCTCCGTCTGTTCAAGCATTCTCTACTTACCTGATACTGATTTTCTTGATGATCGTTGAAATAACGTTTAATTTAGGCAAGCAGTTGCTCCCTAGAGTTTGTTAACCTAGTGTGTGTGTATCAAGTGGATAATTTTCTTCACTAGTGACCACTAATTGAAGAGGTCACAACCCTTCTGTCAGAACAAAAGAACATTTTTAAACTTTTTTCCTTTGTTTTCCTAAAAAGAAGGAAGTTGTCTGAAACAGTCACAAGACTTAAATCTGCTTCTGAAATTGAACTTTGTGGTCTAGGAGAACTGCCTTCAGTTAGAAAGCAATAAAACACTCATATACAAAACTTGTATATACTTGTGGAATACTCCCAATCCCACATCAGCAGGCTTTTAATCACCTGAATTTAAAAGTGGATCAAAAGCTTAATATTCCATGACTGGCAAGCTAAGGGTACAGTAACACAGGCAGCTTCAGAAACCTATTAAAATACTTTCAGAACCAATCTTGGTAAACAGCAATCAGATCTTTTTTGTGTCTGCTAAAGCACCTGATCCCTCTGGTACACAACCTACAATATCCTGACAAACACTGTCGTTACATCAAAAAGCCAACTCATTTCTATCACATTTGGATATTCTGGATGAAGATCTGCTCTTCACCCAAAGTTCTCATACGTGGAAATTATCTTCAAATTTCTTCTGCTGCTTCATTTTTCACATGAAGTCTACTCACATTGTTAAATAAGTGTACTTTATTAAAAACTTCCCAGAAGATTCTGAATTACCATTAGCAAGACTCAAGAGATAGCAAGGTTAGGATCATCAACGGCTGGCTCCAAAACTTCACTGGACACGGTACAACAAGTTTCCAAATTTACAGAACTGAAGAGCACAAATCTAATTGCAATCTTTCTGGGATAAATTCTAAATGAATGTCTAGTGTGTTGACAATTCACCAAGCAATCCAGGAAAAATATGACCACCTTTCCACAGATATCGTAAGAGAAATACCTGTGGTCCAATAACATGTAATACAATTGTGTGTGTGTCTGTAGAGAAGTGTAAATAACAATGGAATTAAAATATTAGATCAAAGGAGGAGAGGATAGTTGGTACTATCTGCTTCACAGAAAACTTATTTGAAGCAGGGGGAAAAAAAAAAAAAAAAAAAAAAAAAAAATCACAACTTCACTCCAGTGGAAAGTTTTCACTAAATTTTATGCCATACTAATCATTACAGTGATTACTTACCTCTCTGTTAAGGTCCATGTGCTTTAATAACACAAACTGCTATAATTAACATTGCTCACATAAAAGTGTTCCCCTAAAAACAAAAAAGATTTTGAACTCCAAATTCCAGTTACGACCTTTGCCATGCCTCATTTCCACAGCATTTTTCTGAAAACTTGATAAGGAACTCCATTTTTGTGGTTGCATGACAAAGTGAATGCAGCTATACAGGACAAAAACTCATTTACTTGAGTGCACTGTACATTTCACTAATATTCCATCAAATCACTGTATGTAGTTTTCTGGTGTTTCTATTTTTCTGTAACTGGTTTTGTTCACACATTACCAAATCAAGTGAATAATTTTTAAAATTTATTGTATTAAGTCTAGAGTTTCAATGGATTTCTTTAAGAGTTACCTTAAAATTAAATTAGGTATACAGGAAGTAGTTTGAACTACTTGATATGAATTATTTGTGCTACATTCAGGGTAACTACAACTTCCATATCGTCCTTCGGTTTTCCCACTAGTCCTCACTGAATCCATTACATGGGACAGTTAATCAGCTATTATAGCATTCTGTCAAATGCCATGCTGCTGTTTCATCATGTTTCCGTAACACACCATGGCCTGGAGTCACCTCATCTGGCTTGGGTCCTCCAAACAATCCAGCTGCAAGTAAATAAGAGCTCCACACAGACTGCTTTATTTTGTTGACCTAGCAATTATTAAACAGTCAATTGAGTCAGCTGAGAAAGAAGATTAATCTGCCCCTGCTTCTATGGCTGGACTGCTCCTAAAGCCCAAGTTGGCCTGGATACACCTACACTGCACAGGAGTGTCAATATACCATCTCACAGCAGTATCTCCTTTCAGTATTGGACAAGGGAGTTCTATTTCTTTTTGTTTTCACACTATGCTTGTTTGCATACATTTCTTTTTAAAAACACATGCCTATACCCTTTTTGTTCAAAGCATCTATTCATTTTTACACAGATTATTCACTGCCACAAACTTTTATTAAAATTTATTAGTCAGATATTCAGTGAAATCAAGATACAGCTACAGTTCTGGCCTGAGTTTCACTTGATACAGAGACCTTTATACCAAGAGTTTCCCTACATGAAGCTTCCAGATGCAACCACTCACCATTTGTGACTGTGTCTCAGTTTCTGGTTTTGATCGTGTCCTTAAAAACCACATTGCTGATGAAATTTTAGGGGGATGACAACACCAACAGCCTGATTCCACCTAGTTGAGAAGGAACTCAATGCTTTTGTTTAGACTTTCAAATTAAAGAGTCCCTACCTATGGCCAAAGTAAAATCTTTTGTCCTTCTAATACTACCCTTAAAATCCTCACAGTGAGACACAGGAAGATTCTTTGAACGTTGCCGGTCCCTAGACACAAAATGGTGGGTTTCTTCAAAATGCTTCCACATGCACTTTGCTTAGAAGTCTATAAGCCTAAAGCTTACACTTTTTTTTTTGGTACAACTGCACCAAAAATCAGAAGTGTGTCTCTCAAGCCTTTGTGAGAAGCTACACTGATAATTCCAAAAGTAGTATTCAAACACTGTTGACTTGGGCATCTGCAATTCTTATGATTAAATCTGAGCGCACAACCACCTGCTCTTGGCTCATCTCTCACACCCTGCCTGAAACTAATTTACTGATCTATGAAGGATTAGCAGCTCTTCTTCAAGGCAGTGTACTGTTCAGAGCAGACAACATTCCTAAAGCACATTTTCTAGGATGGCATCCCAACTTGCACCAAGAGGTTTTGGTGGACTTTCTTTATAGCCTCACCCTCTGCTTCTATGGCCCCATCCTAACTTGCTTTTCTACGTGTCAGGTCCTAAACTTGCAATTTCACTGCAAATTTAACCATGAGTTGTGTAGGATTGTTTTGACTTTGTACAATAATTCAACTTTAGAGAAAGGGGAAAAAACCCACAATATCCCCTCCCATTTTTTCTGTTGACATTCAAAGTAGACCAGTTTTAAAAAAGTTTCACCATATATTATAGCAAAATTTTCTTTGTGTTTCAGGCCTTCTCATACACAACTAGTGAGCTTCCTAAGTAATAATTTTTAATTGTTCTTGAAAAATTAAGTATCTACTGACTTACTTCCCCAAACAGGAATATCTTTGCTTTCTGCTTTCATCACAATGGAGGCGAAGGTCATAGTTACTGGAATGGCATCGAAGTAGGAAGAATGGGGAGCCACAGTTAATATTGCTGCTTCCGCCGGCAACGCCCGTCTGCCTTTTACATTTATCCAGTGGAATCCACCAGCAAGCCACATCATTCTCATGATTGCTTTCAGCAAAATATCCACTATCCTGTAAAGAGTTGAGAAAACCGTTATGCTGCCACAGGAATACCTTAAAATAATGAAAAAAAAAATGTTACATAAAAACTTTGTAAGCATGACAAAAGTACAGATAGAATATGCTGCTTAAACAGAGCAGGAACACAGCATAGAACTTTTGTTTTTTCTTTCTCAGCAGATTTAAAACCGCTTTCAAGGTAAGCTATTCAATTTCATTTCATGCCTGAATATTAATATAGTAAGTTTGGCATTTATTTTAAATTAATTTGATTCAGACTATGTTGAGTTTCTTCTACAGAATGTCTAATAATGCTTTCCACTAAGACCAAAAAAGCTCTAATAAACTGAGTCCTGAAAAATGCTATTAGGATATTGCTAGAATGCAACAACTCTGATTCTTGGTTTTAAGTTTACCCAAACATAAGCAGTGCAGAAATGTAGGTCAGAGATTCTCAAACACAGGAATGCCTACAGAACACATCTGGGAGCTTTGGAAATACTTTACTTCCTTCACTTTTCCCCATCTCCTAAAGGTGGGTGGGTGGGCGTTGGTTTGTTTGTTTTTTTTTTTTCCAGTGGGGTTTTGTCTGCTTGCTTTTCAAACTGTCTGACAGTCATGAAAAGAGAAACATTTACTTTGAACCAGAGTGCAAAAACCAAACACCACAAATTGTTATACTCACAGGGGTTGGAGGCTGGAGAGCAGGGTGACACTGAAAACTGGATGAAATGGGGGAACAATCTAAAAATATTCCAACAACTGTATGCAAGATTGAAGGCTGGACATTATTCCCTTAGTTATTATACTGATATCTTTCCAAATTAAATGTAAAATAGCATGTCTCTGTGGTTCTCAACCTCCTTCCCTCCTGTGATGTAAAATATAATCAACTTCCCTCATGCTAGTGCCAGCTCCTAAACTTAAAGTTCTCTACAGAAGACGTGATACACTCCTTTCTTCCTCCTCAAACAGCAGCTTTCATGGATGGTGAACAGTGTCTTACATTCTTCCTTAATTAGCATTCCAATATCAAAGCAAGCACAGACTTATTAATAAGCACCAAAGCACGGGGCAAGCCCTCAAAGAATCAACAGAATTTTTGCCAATTCATCACAGGATAGCAAACAATGGGGTGAAGCAGTTTAAAACAACAATTTAGAATATGAAATCTGGGCACATTCTGTAGTGTCAATCTTCATAACAAGAAGTTGACAGTACAGGAATAATTGAAATTGAAGGATGTCACAATGAAGCTTCACACTACATCCTCAATGAAGAGGCCAAAGATGATCAGTTTTTCTCCCCGTAAATCTTGGGTCACCTGGTAAATCAAACAGCTGTGGTGTTTTTAGTTTCTCATCTGAGGAAAGTGCTTAAATATAAATTTTTATTTTTTCTTTTGAAGAGAAAAGGAGGTCGGGTGGGACAGCTATCAGATATTTCCGATCTTCTCTATTTCAAACTGATGAACTAAATAATGACTCTCAATATATTACCACATCAGTGACTTACTTTCGCCACCAGGAGAGGGGCTTTTCAAGCTCTTGCTCGTCAGATCCCATTGAAGCAATGAAAGCGAAAGGCCAGGCCAGCAACATCATAAAAGCAGCAAAAAGAGTCGGACAGGAAACAGAGTCAAGGTCATGAAGGTAATCTGCAAAATCCAAAACAAACGCATTATTCTAACAGTCTCGGACTGAAAAAGTCAGCAATTCCTAGAAACTGAAGTCTTAACTTTAAAATATAATGTTAAAACCAGCAGAACATGCTTTGATTCCAAACAAATAATTGTGGTGTATCTGTTACAATTTTGTACTCACCATTCTTAATTATAGATGAAACACAGCACACTCTTTTAAGCTAATGCCGTCTTAGCTTTCCACACTTCTTCACACCCTATATTCGTCAGTGAACACATCCGCATGCTCTTTTCTCTTTCTGCAGCCTCACATTAAGTAAATATTTAGCATGGGTGTGTTGTAAATCTCACTGCACTACAGAGAAATCAGTCCATCACAGCAGCTCCCAGTTAGTGATGTGCACTTCAACAGGGTGCATTCACATAGCAATACAGGACCCAACCCAAAAAGCTCTTCCAGGACTGGGCAGGCACCAGTTCCTCTGTTTTAAGATCTTGGAACTAAAAGCTGTGGGGAACCACAGTGAGCAACACTGTGCAGAGACCTCTGTACAAACATCCAGACACATATCAGTAAGTTCCAGGTCTGTGCTGACAGGTACAACCCCCTGGAAAATGGAGATTATCAATGGGGAAGCTGCAGTGACCCTAGCTACTTCTGCACCTCCCCGAGCACTGTAGCTCTTAAAGAGCCCATTCCCAGCCGGTCAGACTCTGCCTTCAACTCTACTGAAAATCTTGTCATGTCGGAACTTCATCCACAGCCTTTTGAAGAATTCTCCCAAAAGTAGGGCCTTTCCTGAGCTGTTTGGAGTGGTTCCCAACGGTCCTCCAGAAAACACAACTTAGCAACTATCTGTACAATGATCCACTTGCTCCAGGAAACAGTTCCAGGAGCCAAGAGTCTCATCTTCCTCACAAGGAAAATACAAAAGCTCTTAGAGGAAGATACAGCTTCAGATGACTGCCTGAGGGAGAAAGAGGGAACTGAAAACTGAAGCTGACTGGGGTAGCACCAAAGCTCCTCAAGATGTACAATGGAGGCTAGCAAAAGATGAAGACAACACTGAGAAACAGAAGCGCCATGTGAAGAAACAGAATTCAAAAGGAAATATGCTACATGTTCACAGGTGCACCAGATGAGGCAGAAAAGCACTTTTCATCATCAGAATGGCTGGGCAAGGATGAGTAATGAGGCATAAGGTGCTGTCTCATGCTGTGCTTAATCTGATGCACCTCCAGGCTGGTGTGGAAAGCATTATTCATATTCTTTTCCCTGATGTAGATCTAGTCATCATGCAGCTCAGTTTTCCATTGATCAGTTCCTGCTTCCTCTCACTTCCCAAAACAGCTCAATAACCAACTCATCATGTAGCCACACAAATCTGTAGATCTAGGGTAGGGGCAGGAAACATATAGCAGGAGAAAAGCCTAAACTACCAGTTTCAAGCCCTAAGCTACCAGCCCACTGCAACAACAGATTTTACAGTGATGGTTCAAATTGGCACCATCATCTCATAACAACCATGGTCTCACTCCCCAAAGCAGGATTCCAGTCCCTGGGTAGACTGCTTCAGTTTGCAGAATTGAAAGAAAAAGGAATTTTTTTCTTAGCTAGGCTAGTTTCCCAGATGAACCAGTACAACTTCCTAAACTGCAGCGGTCAGATGAACACTGAAGTCATACTAACTCATGCAACTGCATCCACAGAACAAGACCACCATGCCTGGCAGCAACCAGGGAAGCTTTCATCTGCAAACTGAAGAGAGAGCAGCTGCCTTTTAAGCTCATAAAATGAGAAGGAAGGACAAGCTGTCAAGAAAAAAAAGGAAACAAAATGCAGGTGAGGACACAGTCCTCTGGGATTCCCACCCCCTCACTCACATTCCTCAAAGTCTCCTCCCATACCAGGGCAAAGCTGAATGGCAGATGACTGGTGGTGAGCTACTCAGTCCTTTGCATGCCTGTATCAATCCTTTGTATCAAGATCACTTTAGGGCCACATCACAGAACAGAAGCAGTAGTTGCATCCATAAGGTTGTAAAAGATGGCACAAATGTGTAGAAAAGACCTCTTGGTCTTCTGTGTCCAGAGACAGCAGTGGTAGAAATAGCCAGTAAAAAGCAGTTCCAAGTACACAGGTGTACGGGGTCTGGCTGTGACACCAGCCTCTTTTTTTAGCAGGTGGTAGTGCAGTACCTGTCCACACAAGGAATTTGTTAGGAGAGAGAAGTAGCATGTTTGGCCCCTGAAGAAGGTTCAGAATCGACAAAGACACTAGCATTTGAAAAGCAGTTCGGTCTACATCTACCTTCAGGCACCTTCCTGGGTAAGAAAGCTTCTATCCTGTAAAATCTATGTACAGCGGTAGTGTCAGTATCAGAAAATGGGAGAAGATCCTGTTGCAAATGACCGCTGTCGGAGATCAGAATGCCAGAGACATATACTCCTGGTCTGACCTTGTACAGACATTGTATTTTGGTGATCGTATTTCTACACATTTAAGACATCCACCCAGACATTTTTTTCTATTAAAATTAAAAATTCTATCTGGTAATAAGTTATACATAAACATGTGTGTTTTGAGACATTTAAAAGACCCCAAAGGTCCATCTGGAGCTGTACCCTGGGAGGTTCAGCTCATGACTGATTTTCTCAAGAGGTGTTTGACTACAGCCCATTTAACATTTCCTGGTCTACAGGATCCTATTTAGTTTTTCAGAAGTTGCAACGCATGCTGTGGAAGACCAATGGACAGCAGGAAGGGAGAGGATGGTCTTACAGCTTGTAACAGAAGACTGCCCTGGGAAACTGTACACCACTCTTCCATCACAAGGGCTTCAATCTGATGTAAGGGAAGTCACTTAAACTAAATAGGTATCGTATGTTCTCCTTGTTTAGAGACTCTGTATTCAGATTTGAGTATGCACTTACTATTAAGGTATAAAATATGAACTTAAGTCCTTTTTAAGTTCTCCAAAACATCAGGTCCTACATATCTAAGCACTGAGCAAGAGAATCACCAAGTACCCTTGTTTCTCTTTCTGTATGTTTCCATTTCCTGACTTGAAAGCCAGTAACATACCTCTCATGCACAGAGAAGCTGAAAACAATGCATCTTTGAAATCAGCAATATAGTGAGAAACATCATTAAAAATGAGAAAATTTCCATGACTTATTACAAATTAATGGTCACATACTGAACAATGAAAATAGAATAATGAAATGCACATTTAACATGGTGGAGCTTTTTATTTTTTTTTAAACATATCAGATAGAGACTGAATCTTGTTCCACACTTTCACTTCTTCACTGTTATCAACCCTATAGCCTCAATTCACCAAAGATGGCACTGAAGGAAGGAGCTAGAATTCATTCCACAACAATTCTCTTACTACCCACTTCCCCACTCTGTGAGTCCCTCGATTGACACAATCATGGAGATAAATACAGGAGTAGAAATTTTCATGTGCAACTAAGCCAATCTAACAGATCATCGCTGTTAAAGAGGGTGGTCCTGTTCACAGTCCGTCTTGCCCCTTGAGTCAGTTCTAGCACTTATCTGAGCTCGCAGTGAGCCAATACAGCTCATGAGAGTGAAGAAAAGCAATCCCAGCGAAAGAAAACAATCAGAATACAGAAAACCACAATGATATGCTGGTTTAATGAGCCAAATCAGCTCACCAAGGCAGCAAAGGAACACCAGCACTGGTGTAATAAAAGGGCCAGAAACACTGGAAGCAAGGAAAATGGCTTCATATTGTGGTTTTAAGTGTCAGGGAAACAAAGCTACACACACTTTGAGACAGCTCTGGTAATGCTTCTGCCTGTTCTACAGAGGTAACCAGAATCAAGAGCTTTGACTTACATGATAGGTTCCCAGAAGATGTTAGGATGAACAAAACTCATCGTTAATTAAATCACGTCTGTCTTTGGAAGAAAGGACCTCTTTATTACAGTACTGAATCAAACAGGTAGCTTCAAGAATGACCCCCACCGTCATCCTCAGATCAGAGTAAAATAACCATCATTTCTACAGGAAGCATGAGACTCATTTTTCCAATAGCCTTACCGCGTTTACACTCTTGCTATCTCCCAGTTTTTATAAAGCCAGTAAAAGAAGATGTCAACAATTCCTTCTGGGCGCTCTAATGGATTTCTTTTTGCTGTTGTTCTTCCTCTTTGCAGTTGTTTTGTTCCTTTCTTTCTACCTTTATTCAATCCCACAGTCTTGGGCTGAAATGTTCTAAAACACATTTACTTTGAGTTGTATTAATGAGCAAAAAAACTAATCTAACCTCTTGCAGAGTGCAGGATGAGGGAGGGATGAGGTGGTAGTGAAGGTAATGAGGCTGTCTGGCAGACCATCAGCAACAGACAACAGACCATCAGACAAAGCAGTTTTGTCTCCCAGTCCCCTGCGCTCACCAACTTCTTCACGTATCTCTATTCCCCACAAGTTCCTAACCTTCCTCGATAGGCTTTGCGGAACTCACCCCGTTAGATTCTCAGGGCAGAGAGAAAAATCCGTGACACAATACGCGCTTACAGCTGAACAGGAAGTGAGTTCAGCTGTAATACTTCATACCGAACCCTCAGTAACAGGCCAGGACTGTAGGGAAGGGAAGGCACGCTGCTGTAATTCGCTGTAAAGCAGCCTCCACATTCAAGAAGTCTGCCTTCCTGGGAGAGCAGCATTTCTCATAAGTGGAACAGTTCCACAGCTCTTTAACAGCCTCTATCTCGACCACAACTTTTTATCAGCGGATAGGTTGGGAGAGCCCGATTAAGGTAAAGAAGAGAATCTATCACAGTTCTGTATGTCAGCTTGTGTGCTTTTTCCTCACATAAAACCGCAAAATAAAGACTGCAAGAAAGACTGGGTTGGAGAACTCTGTGCCACCATACATCAATAAAAGATTGCTCACTTGAAAAGCAAGACCGAATCACATTCTTTGGTGAGGCTATTCCTTTGGTTTGCACCCTGTAAAAAAAAAAAAACTATAGAGCATTAAACACATCTCAGTTGTCAATGAAAATAAGAAATCCTTGAAATCCAGTGGCAAAGATCATGTCTCAAAGACGTACAGGGCAGCTCACTAGTCGCCTCTGGTGAAGTGGCTAAAGGTCTGTTAGGACTAACAACAGATCAGCAATGCTGGTAGCTCCTATGTGACTCAATACTGCAAAAAACTCTGAAACTGGTACTCTGCCCTTCCAATAGTACTTTAAAAATTCCCTATACATAACCAAGTAGAAAGCAACAATAAAAAGATATATTAACCCGCAAAATAAAACATTGTTATAATTAGATACCATCCTAGGCCATATGATTACATTGCTATCTTTGCTTCTTTCTGCTCCCTGAAAGACTTCTACCTCTAATTATGTGACTTAAGGAGCAAAGTAAGGTTACATGGAAAAGAAATCATTACAATGATGTGATTTATTGAGGAAACCCTAGGTATAAACTGAACAAGGAAAATGACACAGACCTTTTCTCCCTTCTCCCATTCAAACAACAATTTATCAGTAACCATTGAATACGTATCGAGAAGCTTGAATAAAAAAGTAAAAGCCTTTTCCACTGGAGTCTGCTGTGAATTCCTTGGCTGCCAAATACTTAATTTGAGGCACATTCCGACGTTTTGGAAGTCAGGCCATACATGTCTTGTGTTAAGTACAGGACAGCAACAAGGCAGTGCAACAATGAACTTCACTCAGAACGTAAATTAAATTAATGTTGGACCTAAAGCACCTTGATCTGAGAGGCTCAGTATTAGTGGATCTTAATTTCCATGTTGACAGGTACTGTAGGCTGTTAGGCCCTCAAAACAACAGCTTAAAGGAACTGAAATATTACAGTGAAGAGAGTGAAACGGCCAACCCCTTAATAGATGAGCCTTTGACAGTATTTCTTCATCCAGCAAGTGACCCAGATCTTACAGAAAGCATAAGTCAAGGACCATGCACTCTGAATATCCCACCATCTGAGGTGAGGCAGATGCACGGAGGAGAAAGGAATAAAAAAAAAAAAAAAAAAAAAAAAAAAAGGCCAAACAAAAAGCCACGCAACTGCAAATTTGCATTTTAATACTGATTCCTGTCATCTCACACTAGCCCTACCACGCGTAAATCATCCACAGGGATTATTTACGCAGGGGCCAAACTTCCGAGGCACGGGATGCCTCGGCCCAGGCACCCCCTTAACTTGACGCTAGAAAAGAGTGTCTCCACAAAAGTGTTGCCCCCCCTTAAAAAAAAAAACAAAAAACAAAAAAAAAAAAAAAAAAAAAAAAAAAAAAAACAAAAACAAAAAACAGCAACATCAAAAAAAGCCAACAGAAAAAAACCCACAACAACAAAAACACCCTACAAAACGATAAAGCAATTTTTTTTAATTTTTTTTTTTTTTAAATCCCAATATTTTGTTTAAAGGAAGCCGCGGTGCCGAAGTTAAGGAACACACCCTGCGAGCGGCGGCCGCCCCCAGCCCCCCGCCCGCCCCGGGCACCGCGCCCCCCCCCCCCCACACACCCCCCCGGTTCCCCCCCGGTCCCGCCGCCCCCGGCGGCTCACAAAGCGCCGGCGGCAGGGTGCCCCCGCCCGCCGCAGGACGCGGCCCGCCAGCCGGTGCGCCGCGGGGGACGCGCGGGAAGCGGCGGGGAGGTGGTGACGGGGAGGACCCGGGCCCCGCACGCCCCTACCTTGGCTTTCTCCAGAGGGCTGAGGCGCAGCTGGTGCACGAAAGGGCTCCGCGGCGGCGGCCCGCGCTCCCGGTTGCCGGCCACGCAGCATCCCCGCCCGCGGCTGCTCAACTTCATGGCGGGGCAGGACTACGCACGGCCCAGCACGGGAGAGGGCGCGGAACGCTGCTCAGCGACCGCTAATCCCCGAGTAGCGGCGGCGGCGGCGGCGGCGGGCGGGCACCGGGCGGCCAGCTCGCTCCCTCGCCACTAGACGCCGGCCCCCGCCCTCCCGGAGGCCCGCGCATGCGCCCTGCGCGCCGGCTACAGCGGCTCGGCTGGGCGCCGGTTTCCGCGTCGGTTGGTTGGGGAGGATTGAAGGGGGGTGTGGGGGGGGGGGGGGGGGCGTGCGCGCACCCTCCCGTCACCGCGTGCCGCCGCCGCGCGCGCGCGCGCGCACCCGGTCGCCCACTCCCCCCCCCCCCCAAAGCCCGTTCCCCTCGGGGCATGCTGGGAGGGCGGCCCCGCCCGCCGCCCCCCGCCCGGCCGCGCCCGGGGGGACGCGCGAGCGCCGTGACACCGGTAGGGCCGGGGGGGGGCGCGGGGGCGCGCTCGTTCCCCGAGTGTCCCGCGGGTGGGACGGCGGAGGGGAGTTTCAGTGGGGAAGCGGAGAGGGACCAGGGGGGTCTCGGTGAGGTGGCGGTGGTGCGGCCGTGCTGCGGCAGGAGCGGCGCGGGCGGGCGGGAAGGCGGCGCGGACGTCGCCGCCGTACCTGGAGGCAGCGGGGCGCTGTGCTCGCATCTCGCGGCGAGGTCTTTGTCGGGGGGGGGGGGGGGGAATCCCCTCCTCCGAGCTAACCCTGGTATTTTTCGTAATGAGGAGCCTAGAGAATTTGCATCCTGGAATCCTGACAGAGTTGGCTAAGGAAGTATCTAAATCTGGCGTTTAATAAATCTTTAAATGCATGAGAAGTTCTGGAGAGGTCGGAAAGCACCCGTGTTCTGCCCGTTTTCAACAGATTTAGCAGAATGACCTGTCCAGTTCTTGACTGCTTAACATCAACTACAGGGAAAGCAGTAGAGATACGTAAACCGTTTGACAGATATGTAAGACATCCTTAATATCGGTCAGCTCTCAGGTCTTATAAAGCAATTCCAATAGCCTCATTCAGTGAGATTTAACGGTGAATTGATAAGAGTAACTACAAAAACATCATGACTCTACAGTTCCTAATCATTAGGCTTAGAGCTGCAGAATGGTCTCCGACTCCATGGTTAATACCATATATACTGCTGAGAGCTAATGTTATTTACCAGTTAATGTGTTAAACAGATAAATAGTTTTTGACTTTTGAAAGATCAGAAAATTTTCAGAAGTCAGTCTTCATGATATTGGGGTTCGCAAGGCTCTGCAGACTCAACGTCCTCCAAGGTTTTTGCCAAAGATCCCAAATAAACGTACTGTTAATAAAATCCTTGGATGTGCTAAATGGTAACTTGGTGAACTACTGTGAGAGCAACTGCAATGTCATCTGGACTGCTTAGTAAAATTAACACATTCAAACAGGCTTTTACAGCCAAATGTGTGTCTGTTTTCTAAGAATACAAGCCATGTCTCTGCAACAGGAGCTTGTGTCCTGGAAAAGACCATCTAAAGCCAATTTCAAGTAAACTGTTAGAGATCAGGTCCCAGTATGTGTCCAGTATGACAGTTGGATGTACTACCAGGATTAGGGTACAGGAAATCAGTGACTGTCTATTAATGAGAGACTGATACTAGAACAAGGTGTGTAGCTCTGACATTAAAGATCAGGTGGTGCAGAAAAGACCTGCCAAAGTATTACAGTACCAAGGGAAATCTCTTACAATAATGCATTTTAAAAGCGGCATCAATTTAATTCATTCAGAAGAGCTGCAAGAGCAAGTTGGCTTTACTGCAGCATTCAAGTACCTTCACAAAGAGAAAGTACAACATGCTAAAGCTTTTTAAAATGGTAGACAAAAATGGAGAAGAAGAATCAGTGGTCGGGAGCTGAGATAACCTGATGCAAATGTAAAGGTTTTACTCAGAAACAAGCTTCTGGGTTCAGCCTGGGACTAGTGATAAGACTTACTGGCCTGTGGTCAGACTATGTGGTCCAATCTCTCAAGTATTTTAGCTGCATTCCAAACAATTTGGCTGCCCTCTTCTTTTCTCCTTGTCCAGTGACTTCAAGCCAATGATTAGTTCAGCCGTACGGGGCTTGTTTCAATAATAACGACAGGTTTCTTGAAGATCGCAGCAGAGACTCCCTGCAACAGGGCCCGCGTGCCGCCTGGCCAGGGCGGGGGGCCCCGCAGCCCCCCGCGGGGACCTTCCCCGCTTGCCAGGTCGGCGGGCAGGAGGTGGGGGCTGCCGGCTCCCAGCCGAGGGCTCCAGCATGCGTTCTCTCACCGGCGGGCGTAGGACGCGGGAGGGGGTGAGGGTACTGGAACGGGTTCAGCTGCGAGGTGCGAGCAGGCTCCTTCAGTTCTGCTAGTTGTGTTTTGTTAGTTTTCTAAAGCCAGCTTCCAAAAATGATCTGATAGCATTATTGCTTGCATCAGAGATTTTGGTATTTGTAGCATCTTCCACGATTGTAAAATCTAGTGGAGTATTAGACACCTGCTTGCTCCTTTAGCTCTTAAACCTTCGCTATTAGAGCACCTGTTCAGTATTACTGAGCGCACAGGCAGTATTCTAACTTTTTATTACTGCTTTCATATGTTTAGTCTATTATTTTTTAATTACCATGTCTGTACCACCTGAAGGAGTTTCCAAGAGACTTTGGAGTTTTATAGAACTCATTTGTTGGTTAGGAATAATGTTCCACAGTTGTAGTTTGATGGCCATCTTCTAGGTTGTTTTAGAGTCTATATGAACATACATGAACTATTCGGAGGCTAAGAAGTGCTTCCCTGGATTTTGGTTCTCATTTGTTTTCTTTAAAATTCTGCTGTGATCGTATAACTTAAAACGTACAGCCTAACTTTCATAAATTTGCAGGAATGTGTTTCCCCATCTCTACAGACCCTTTATACCTGTAAAGAGATGGAGCTGAGCCCTGTTTCTTGCGAAAGAAGATCCACCCCATGGAGGGTCTGAGACTGAGCCCTGGAACAGGGACAATCCCACGGCAGGGCTTGAGTGGGAATGTCAGGCTGGGGGCCTGCAAGCAAACCATTTTGGCCTGTGATAAACAGAGGGGTGAGGGGACCAGCCCACACGGAGGGCAGAGTAAGCCACACTTACAGGATGCTACTGCTTTCTGTGCAGTGAACTGGAAAGTTTGGTTGGATCCTTTCAGAGACACATGGTGAAACTTGCTCCTGGAATGTTATTATACGACCCTGAGAAGATGGGGATAAGACTCTGCAAGTGTGCATGAAAAAAAGGCATTATTTTATACTTAAAATACACAGCATAATGTGATTAGTTAAAAACAAGTATTGTTTTTGTGAATTAATTTGGAGATTGAATAAAGTACACCTATAGCATTGTGGTTTGATTGCTACTTTTTTGTGCAAATCACAGAAGAGCTGTAACTATGATGTTGCTGTCAAGGTTGGCATATGCTACATAGCTCATCTAATAAGGACTTATAAGGACACAAGAAGAGGTGATTAATTTATTGCAGGATTATGGAATCTACCTTGCTTCACAAGAGGAGAAAATGTGTGCTACATTATGTTGGATGTAAGTGTATTATGATACAATTGGAAAAGGAAATGTTGAAGCTGAATATCATGAGAATAAATTGCAGTAAGCTCTCAAATAATCTCCTCAGGGAAACTGTGGAACCTGAAACCATTAAAATGAGACTGCACAAACATATAAGTGTCATTCTACCCTGGAGTGCAAAAGCTCTAATTGGTCCTTTCTGTCATTCATTTGTATGATTTATAGGGAGCTGTACAAATAAGAGGACTCACGTATAAAATGCACACAAATATTAATTATGAAATATGCTTCTGTGCGCCTTGAAGTAGGAAAAGGAGTACTCAATATTTAACAGCTAAACTGAAGTGGTTTTCTCTAAAGTAAATCAAATAAATGTTCATTAAAAGCAAATATGTTGACCACAGCACTGAACTTTATTTGGAAACAAACAAAATTTTCTTGCCTAGGAAAAGTCCTAGCTTTGATTTTTATGATGGTCCTTGACCTTGATGGCCATTTGGTGGAATCACCTGATACCTATTCAAGCACAATTCAGGTACACCTCCACCCTTAAAACAATTTTTCTACAGTTGATGCCACCTGGTCCATGGAGAAGGGGCTATTCTGGTTTGTTTGCCTTTTTTTCTTTCTTATGTTTTCCTTCATGACTCCCATTGCAAATCTGTTCAGTGTTTAAACCAGGAAAGGTTTTAAAAATATTTGAAATAAATTTATTCTGTGAAGAGAAAAAAAAAATCAGTTCATGTTGAATTACTATAAGTAGTACAGATTTTGCAAAGATAATGTGCTCATGTTTTTCTTCTGATCTGTGAGGAAATGCAGAATCCACCTGACTTCCTTGAATCAGGAAAGAAATGGCTAGAGTTAATGGCAGGTTTGTGGGAAGAACAGCAGTTTATTGTTCTGATAGTGCTGTATTATCTTCGATGTGTCAGCCTGAGGAAATAAGAGGCCTTGTGACAAAAAAAAAACATGGGACCTCCCTCATTGAGGAATTACAGGGGAACGTAATTCAGGGTTTTCAAGAAATAATTGGTCACTTAAGATGTACTTTTCACCTCAGGATTCCCAGTGTTATAAGGCGCACGTGACCTTGGCTTCAGCAGTTGTGAGCAAACTCATCAGTTCCCATCTGACAATGGCCCCTCAGCCCTGGAGCGGGGGAAGGCAGGTGTGTTAGGTGTCACAGCATCTTCGCCAGCTGCTGAGCAGTCCACACTTGTTGCACAAACCCTGCCCATGCTCACCACTTGGAGTACTCAGCATTATGGGGGGGAGTGAACGTAAGGAGCAGCGTGTGCCGATTCCATTCCTCACCGGTTGATGAAAAGAAATTTTGGGCAGCTGGAGCCTTGCTCAGCTCTTGCAGAGGCCGATCCAGGACTGTGAAACAAATTGTTTTGGGATCTGAGATCTGCCTCATGCCTGATCACTTGATCAAGAGTATCCCAACTCGTCTTGTGTATTTTATTTCTCCCGTATTGTTCTTAGGCTGAAACCCAGAAGAAAGAGGCCATAGTGGTTCTGGTAATATCTCACTGACCTTTAAATGTATTGGTTCTTAGAGATGGTTCAGATCTAGACTAAAGTCCTCTCAATTCTTACTTGAAAAACCACATTCTTGTAAACGGCCACACGCATAAGGTGTATGAAGATTAAAACCAAGCACAGATAAAAGGGGCTAGGTGCAAATTAAAGTAGCAAATGTTTTCAGTGCTTTACTATGCTTGTAGCCCTCTATATCTGCATTCATTTCTTTTTCAGCTTCGTACACCTTCTTCCTCTTTTTTCTCTAAATGTCTTAGCTAAAACCACTCTATATTTCTAGTCCCAACAGGAAAGAACAATCCTAAGGAAAGGAAACAGTCTCCCTTTGACGTAAGATAATCTTGGAAGGTAGGGAATGAAATCCTTGAATTCTTTTCTGTGACTTATCAGGTACACCTGTGGTTTGCAAGTAGAATATGCGTGCTTATCAAATTCTACAGATGTGCTCAAAAGAAGCAATTTTTCTCTGCCCTTATTTAAAGCCCGTGCCCAGGTATACCGCAGCTAAAGCGCCATATGACTGGCATGGTAATTTCTGCAAATTGGAATAATAACTACTGAGTCAACATTTTCCATCTTCCAGATCACATTATATAAAGTAGATAAGAACATCTTAAGCTTTCTGCATACTCCACACTCGTATCTTTGTGCAAATATTACAATATCTTATGAAAATACCTTTTGAATTCCAACACACGTGAACTTTCAGTTTGCACATGTTCTCTTCCACCCGCTTCCTATGATTTCTCATCTCTAGATTACGTATTTACAGAGGTTTTGTATTAGGCAACCTTTATTTAAAGAGCACTAGATTAACATTCAGAAAATGAGTAAATCCAAAAGATTTATTTTAGGAAGCTTTGTGCACTATTCATATAACAAAATAATCATGGAGATTGCTGATAAGGTGGATCAAATTCATATAAATCAATTTACCAGAAGTAGCCTTCGTGAGATTAATACCATGATCCAATCACATCCAGTACCACTTTCCAATCACATGAAATGCTTCATTTAATTCTTCTGAAGTAGTAAAGTCTACTACTTAATATGTTTTAAATATGTATTTACTATAAGCTAGTAACACTGGTTAAATATGCAAAACATAACATACAAACATTTTATGCTTTTGGAAGTGCAAATAGGATGAGCTGCCAGAAGATCCCAGGGCAAGAATGTCCAGATTCAATCTGTTGCCTTGGGATGCAGATTATAGTGAGGCAAAACCACAGCCTGTAGTGAAAAAGAGACCATATGGGACTCACAGTGGTGCCAGTGGCTTTATGCCCAGCTCATGTCCTGGCCCGTGCCAGCTCCCTGGCAGCTGCAGCCCTCAAATGAGGCAGGATAAGGCAGAGAGAGGCAACTGTGTCTTTCTTACCTGTATACCCCTCCCCACTCTACTGGGGAAAAGAGGGAGTTAAAGTAAGTGTGTGTTTGTGTGTGTTGGTGGGGAGAGCAGGGATGCACTGACTGCTCTCCAAATACAGATGGACGCCCAGGTCTTCCCCAGGGGTCAGTAAAATGCAGGGATCATGTGAAAATACAAAATACGGCCATGCAACAGTAAGTGGTTTGTTCTGATTGCATTTGGCTTCCACTAATAAGAACCACAAAGGGCTGCACCTGTATATCTGCCAGTCAGGATAACCCAGATGCAGGGCAGGACGCGGGGAGAGCAGGCGGTGCAGCCAGTAGAACCGAGTAAGACGATAAGGAACTGCCAAATACAGATATGTTGCTTCAGGATGCGTCATCGACCACATCATCCATTGGAATAACCCGTCTAACTCTAAGCATATTAAGTTCTCCAGTGAGTTTATTAATGTGGGCTAACACCATCTGTTTGTGGACACAGGGCATTTTATCTCTCATTAACGTGATACAGCAGTTAAATTTAGATAGGCTCTTGTATGAACTGAGTATCACTTAGCTGTTCTATATGCTAGGAATGATTTCTAAGCCCTGGAGAATGGAGTGGTTAGTTAATATGGCTGATTGTATCTACCTTTTCTACAGCCCTGTCAAGTAGTAATAATCACTTGAAATGATTCGGTTGCAAATTGCATAGCCCCGTTCTATACTAATCTTGCACTCAGATTTTAACACTTTTTCATTGGCTCTTGCCAAAAGGTAATTGATTTTTTTTTTTTTTAATGTCAGTTGTTTAAGGTGGAAAAAGATGGTATTAGCTGTCCAATAATTAGTTAGCAGGAACTCCCTGATAGTGACTTTTGCTTCATTCATAGAGTGCTATTGCTGGCTGGATCAGATTGTTTTCCCAAAGCTTTGACAAGGATGGATAGATCTTAGAAAATCTACTCAGTGGCAGAGAAGAAGAGTCATACTGATGGTCCATTGAACAGCCCTTGTTAACTAGAATGTTTTACATGAGGTTTAAGCCCATCTGTGTGACTTCACACAGCTCCGCCCACAGCCACCAGTAATCACAGGTCAGCCAGCAGAGGATTTTCTAAGGGAGCAGGGGAGATTATTGTCCCTGCTCATTGCTGGTAATACAGAGCTACTCGCATGCTGTGCCTGGGAATCAGCGGTAGTTGTGCGCTTGCATGCTGGCTGCAGCCCCTCGGTGGAGCAGCCCGATCTGTATCCTTTAATTCATGTGCTGTAGTTCTCTGGCTCGCATCACAGTGAGCCAGGGAGAAGGGAAGCAGTGTTTAGCGGTGATGAATTTATTAAGCGGGCAGGGGGATCATCAACCCAGAATTAGCTGATCCTCCCAGCGCAACGTTCAGGCTCCCACTCATGTCATAAGCATGCAATTACATGGCTCTCCTGTTTGGATTGAGCATGTGTCTGCCCCAGCAGTCCTTTGCTTGCAGTATGAGTGAGATTGCTACCAGAGCATCACATGCTCCCTTCATAAATGACACTAGCTTTTAAGTGAGGTTTCAGCCAGAACACAAAAAACATTCTACGATCTGGAAAAAAAAAAAAAAACAGCTGGTGAGAAATTTGGAGTCTGGTGTACTCTGTAGGATTCATAATTACATGCACTTAAGGACATTTCTAGTGGTAGATGACTCTAACCCTGCAGAAAAACAACATCATAACAAGATTCAATGACTGTAAGGTAGAAGCTAAAAGCAGTCCAATTCAAATTAAATTGGAGAAGAGAAGATTTGGAGAAGGGCTAGTGAAAATAAAATAATTAAATATTCAAAGGCTTCCTTTCAAACGCTTACATCTCTCCCACTAGACATTCTTAGTAAAGATTCGATGTCTTTCTTAATAGGGGTAGAAATTAGTGCAAAAGTTACTGTCTGGGATTTGGGCCAGAAGTTATAGAGATCACCTTAAGTGGTCATGTGGTGTTCTACTTGAATGCCCATTGCTCCAGAAGTGGTGGACTTTACCTCTTTGGCTAGGAAGTTATACTAATGAACAGTGCAGGGGATCTACCAGCAGCCAGGGACTTGGGCAATGGTTGCAGTCAGCATCAGAGAGTAAAAGCAAAGTGTGACAGGTAGCCAAGTTGAAATATATTTCAGCTCAGCTGCCCTAAAAATCTCAAGTTCCCTATCTGTAGCATCGGTGAGGCTGTTGTTGTCACATAAAGTGTTTGTGAAGTCAGGGAATGACAATGAATTTAAAGGAGGTTTCTCAGAAGACAGCTTTTTCTTCACATGAACTGGTGCTATGGTGTAAAGCATTTTTTTCTCCTCCTTTTTAACTGCTAATTGGGATTCTTCAGAAAGCATGGGAAAACTTTTTTCCCGTAACTTTGCCTCTTTTGTGCCATCAATTCACTGCCTTCTGATGTCTGACACAATGAAGAAAATCTCCTATACTGCTTTTCCAAAATGAACCATGCCAGAATCCACAGCATACGAGGAACACCCTCTTAGCTTGGCCCTCTCCCTTGGGATGAATGTCAAATTCCTAGTCATCAGCTTATTCTCTGACTTGAAAGAAACATAGCTTGGTACCTTCCCAGTTCAGCTGAAGCTTTGCAATGGCATTGTAATTATAAAAATACAATATATAATAATTATATATATTAATGCACACAGATGCATATACCACACTTTCAGTTCTTGGTCTTGTGTCATTTACCATATAGTAATTGGTTACATGCACGTCATTTGTTGCCATGGACCACATACAAAAACTGTAGTTTTATATCCCTCTGGAAAAGATACAGGTCAATTAATCCACAGTGTCTTGGGTTCTTCTGTGAACCCCCCAAACCTCTGTTACACGGGCATGTTGTTCTTCTTCACTCAGGACTGCTGTTTAGTGCTCTCTCCTCATAGAAAAGAACCCAAAGGGGATCAACTTCGTTGTATTTTGCAGTGAAGATGCTTTGACAAATTGTACGATAGGCATTTGTTTTACTGGTATATTTTTTTAGCCAGTCTTTATATTCCGCCACTTTTAATCATAAGTCATGAAGTGTGCGGCTTTTGGTTTCAAGCATTTTTCTTTGGAGGCTGAATTTTTTTTACACACACAAATCTGTTGGTAGGACGGACAGAACTTGATTTTTGTTGCACCAAGTTCAATAAGTATCAAGATTCTTGATATTTCTTTGTGTATCTTCTTGTTCCTGTGTGATTTTCAGGCAGAGTGCTTACACATAGGTAGCGTAGACAGATAGCTAAATCACAACAGTTTTCACCCATTGCCATTTAAGTTGGGGCAGAGTCATTTTGCAGCAACGAATGAAGGAGCTGAATTCTACATTTGCATGTGGAAACTATGGAAAGGAGGAGATACCTGAAAGTCTAGAAGCAGTGCATATCTATCTTTCTTTGACAGATTTCAAGTAACTAGTGGTTCCAGTTAGCTGGCAGCAGTCACTGAAGAGGATGTAAACCTATTCATGATGCCCTAGTAGTCATGGGGGAGGCTGCAGGGCCCTTGAGAGGGCCTTCAGGTTCAGGAAAGCATGATAAGCTTGTGCCGTGTTTTCATCACAGTCTCCTCAGACCAGGGTGAGTCAACCCACCAGGTACCTGTCTGGTGGAAGAGGACACATCAGAGAACATGATGGCTTTGGAGGTAATGGAGCGAGCCCAAGGGCTTCTGCTGTGGAATAGAGACCAACATGGTCTCAAATCCCTGGTGAAGAGAGGCTGAGCCTGTGAGCCCACACTGTTTGCTGCAGCGAAAGGTGTTTGGCTGCCATCTCTGCAACCAGAAATACACTGTGGCAACAGCATCTTCAACACCTCTCCTGCTGTGTGGGACAGGAGAGCGCAGCCTGACTGCTGCTGCGAGAGACATGGGCTTGAGGGGACATCGGGACCACTCTGACCACTGCTGCCACCCGTCCCTTCCTCTGCCGGGTGCTCTACGAGGTAGCACGGGGGGCATGGGGCAGGGGAAGAGACAGGCACGGTAGTGAGGGCCATAAATCTGGGAAAGATGGTGTGGCTGTTTTTGTTTTGGACAACGTTGTGAGTATTCAGTGTCCGTGATGCTTCCCTTTAAGGACACTGTTTTACTAGGTGCACGGACATGCAACCTGGAGTATGGAGTCAAGGCTTCATGTGGTAGGGCAAAGTGGGCTACCCCCATCAGTCACAGAGTTTTATAGAAGGGACTTACACAGTTCAAACTTCTAGCAGCTCTGTCTGTCCATTTCTTCCATACATCTTGCTCACCCAGAATAGGGTAAACAGATCTGTCGCCTCAGCCTCAGATTTCTTCATTTGTCTGTCAGTGCAAATTTCACTGTCAGTCAACCTAGGGCCGAGTTCAGCCATTCTTCTCTAGCAAAATAATTATCAAAGGGATTTGAGCCCTAGAGAAGAAAACAAACTGCCTTTCCCTATTAAGAATGATAAACCAACCTTAGTGTAACTACAGACTTCTCTGTAACTCTGACAAACAACAGAGAAGTATTCTTTCCATGAATATATTCAATGTATTGTGTACATGAATCTCACCAGCAGCCCACATGAGTACGTGGTATTTCCAGAAGCATTGCAGCACTGGGTACCGCTCCTTCATGATGCAGTATTCCAGTTACAGCAATTGTAAACGCCGATCTTCCAGATGTAAGAGGAAAATCTTACATCCCAAAGAGAAATCTCACTTTTGAGAACTGTAGCAGTACACTTTAAGATAGAAATTTTGCTGGTGCTGCCAGCTATTGGCCTGTTCCAGTTTGCAGCCAAAGACAGACAGTTCTTGCAAAAAAAGCCTTTTTGGAAAGACTTCATACAGACCTGTCTGCTCAGTTTTAACTTCTTCCAACTCACAAATCTTTGCCCTTCGGATAACTGCACAACCGGAGCTGTACAACAGCTCTGGCAAGCTTGTGCCTGTCTGGAAAGCCTCGGTAGGGCTGTGGCGGGTGTGCACGGTGGCTGTACACAACACGGGGTAAGCCGGATGCTTTCAGTTGCCGCCTGGTCTGGTTGCAATGCCTGCTTGCTCTGCACAGGCCTGGCAAGCGCCGTGTTCCCAGGAACTGGCTGCAGTGGTTCTTCATGCACCCAGTGAACATGAGGTATCCCCAAAGGCATGTGAACCCAGCTCTGCTGCACGCTGATGATGTGCTGGACTTAACTTTGTCTATATCTTTTATTTCTGTACTAATTCTTACCTTTCTTTTCCCATCTCGGGACTCGATGGTGCTTAAGCACTTGTCAGGTGGACAGATTTGATCTCTTTGAATTTCTCATGGAGAGATGCTTCCTCCTATCTTCAATTAATTTTGCAGCTCATCTCAGAAATATCTCCAGTATTTCAACATCTTTCTTATGTGTTACTGGTACCATGTGGGCTGATGAAGAATCTGCTCTGCTGCTCAGATGGAAGAGAAAACGGGAGAAGGTATCAGCAGGTGTTACCCAAGAAGTCAAATAAATTAATTCCGGTTTTGGGGTTCAGTTTACACTACAATGCCTGCCAATGGACTAGCAAAAGCGAGCGTCTGTGTGGAGCATTGTTTAGGAAAAATGGGGAGTTTTTGTGTTTACCTGTCAAAAATCAAGAAGATGGTAACTGTTATGGCAACAGTGGAGGAGGTAAAAAGAATAACAGCAAGAATAAAGATGATCAGATAAAGAAGCTGCACAATATATGCATATACATATTTTTTCCTAAAGTGGCTTCCCGAGGGATAGTGTTCCTGCATGAGCCTGCTTTGCAGAAGATGTTTCAGAGGTGTCTTACAGGCTTTGTGAAATTCTGCCGCTGAAGAAAAGCGTGAGGCAGGAGGGCCAGTCCCTGCAGTGGGGAGGCTGGAGCGTGGGCTCCGTGGGCTTGTGCCTGCCGGCCGAGGGCAAGGGGCACTCACGCAGCTTGGCCAAGGCCCGCTGCCGGCTCGTAGCCAGGGGCACAGGCAGCAGCTGAGCCTTGCCAGGGAGAGAAGTTGTAGGAAAAGGAGAACAAAATTGAAAACGTTACGCTTGTGAGTTCTTAGGAGACCTGAGGAAAGAGCAAAATTACTGCAGCCTTGAGAATCTAGGAAGTGGGATTGAGATCTGCGAGAAGCCGCCTCACGTTTGTTCGTTCGCCAGCCCATGAAACAACTTGTTCCTCTCCTTGCATTGCAGCAGGTAATCCTCTTCTGGCTTTTCTAAAGCTAGGAGCACCATCTAGTGGAAACCTATGCTGGTCCAGCAAATAACTGACTTTATAGAGGGTAAGAGAGATTTTGTCTTTACAGTAGGAAGCGTATACATTTGCTTTTATCTCTATTTACAAACAGATGAGAATAGTTTAAGTCTGGCATCACATATCAAATGAATTACAACAGTGTTTTTATTCTATCCTCATTCCTATCTAGCCACTGCTACTATCAATTTTCAAGGCCATTGTAAAAATACGGCATATTCCTCTACACAGTCCTTTCTTTTTAAGCGCTGTGGGTTCCCCACGGCCGTACTTATATCTATTTTCACGTTCATATTACAGTACTCAGTGTCCTAACCAACTCCCTTAGATATAATTTATGTGCTTGTAAATGTCTGAACTAGGATAGAGGGGTGCAGAGGACTGGTACAAATGTAGAGTCTGCATTTAATGAAAAATCAGCGCAACAGAAGACCATAACAGGAACTGTAAATAATCTGTAAAAATAAATGTTTATCTTTTAAATATCTATGCTTTATCTGTAGTAGATTTTGATGGTAAACTCTCAAAGCTACCTCCTAAGATACGTATTTTCTAACATTTTATGAGAATAATTTTGCAGTGAGTTATAAATAAATATAAATAAGTAAGTGAACTGCTTCAGGCTAGAAAAGAGCTATATGAATGTATGAGAAATAATATGATAAAGATTCCCTTTTTTTATACTGTTTTCTCATAATGTGGTGCATAGAGTGCTTTCAATAAAAGTGCCAAGTGGCATATTTAAAGTAACAAAGATGAAGTACCTTTATACACAATTTATGAACAAAGTTTAGAGCACAGTGTTGCAAGATATCATGGAGACCAGAAGCAGGTTAAAAATGGGATTAGGCATATTTTTGGAGGATGGGCCTAATGTGGCTGTTGAACACAGCAGTTTAGCTGCAGCCCTGGAAATGTCCCAGCTGCTGCTGACTGGAGGCTGGTAGGATTTATCAATCTTAAGAGGAAAAGACTGGCTGGACTGGTAGAGATCATGGGTCAACTAATGCATTATCCTGTCTCCTAACAGTGCCCAAAAGCAGTTGGTTTGGGAACAATAAAAGCAAATCTATACAATACTTCCCTTTTAAAACTCCCCTGGCTGAGGGTATTTCTTGAGTCTGCTGTGGTCTCTTTTACAACACTCAGGATCTTTTAAGTGGTTCTGCAGCCTCCGTTTGAGCCCCTCCAGACTTCTTGCAGCCACAGCCTCTTGGGCAAGCAGGTTCTCCGCTCTCCTATCTGCTGTGTGGTAGGCCACTTCCTTTTGTTTGTTTTGAACATGGCTGCTACTAAATTTGATGGCTTTTGCTGCTTGTACTGGACAAGACAGGGAGCAGTCAGTCTCTTTTCCATTCAAGATATTGCAGAATTGCTCACTGCGAGCCCTTGCTGTCTGGAGTTACTGGAGCACTGCTCCCAAGTTCTAACTCGCCCTGGTGCACTGGGGCATGATGAAATTTCAGCTGATTCAGGGTATGTTTCCACTGTGACATAAGGCAGACTGCTCAGGGCTGCTCTAGCCCTTTTCTCTCCCCCACCTCTCCCCAGCACTGCTTCTGACTGCAGGCTCCCGCCTCCTTGTATCCTTGTACCAGCATCGATGCAATTCAGGAGGTGCACCTCTAATATTGTCGGGCTGCTTTGAGCTGCACTGCCTGCATTTCCAGTTCTGGAAACGTGGTGCAGGGATCCCTGGGTTGGATATTCCCATAATGGGCTGAGATGAAACCAAATGGGCTTGAAAAACAAAACCCACAAGTTGCCCCGGGCCATGGCTCAGCTCATAAACTCTGTAAGACCTGAGATGGCTCTGCAGGTGCTTCACCTTTCTAGGGCAGAGCCCACAAAGTGTGGGGTCCTCGGGAGGGGGATGAGGGGGCCTGGGGAGGGGTTGGCGTGGCTGTCAGAACAGCAGTGTATCCTCATGGCTCAGGGTGCCTTCCTGCAGCCAAATAAAATAAATCTGCCTTTGGAGCTGGACTCAGACATCCCAGACTTAAACAAACATGATGGTACTAACACGTCTCCATTTTGCCATCTCTTTATAAATTTGGTAACTAGTACTATTACCTACATTAGGTTTTTACTAACACAGAAAAGCTTCTAGACCAAGCAGTTTTCTTGAGACAGATTGGTAACCTCAGCACTAATATATATGTAATCAGTTTTTTCCTTTTTTTTTTTTTTTTAATTTTATCCTTTGGTTCTCTTTGTTGCTCTTCCAGACTCTTTCCATAACTTAGTCACACCTGCAGTTTGTTTCCTTTCAGCCTTCTGGATTCACCTTGCTGTTACGTACTCAGCAGAAGAGAGTATGTTGAAGATGGGAAAGTATCATTTGGTGAATTTGGTGTATCCAGGTCACTGATGTTGTTGCAGCTGAGTTGGCTGTCTTGGGAATGGAGTAATGCCATTTGAAACAGCAGCTGCTCCTGTCTGAGCCTCCAACCTTGTAAATATGAATTGTGCCTGTGGCAGAAAAATTAATGGCTAACATAAAAGAGAAATAGAAAGCAGGTGGCCTCTTGAAAAAGCAGCCAGAGCTCCAGGACCACATTTGTACTACAGAGCACATCATCAGCCATGCATTTTCTTTACCCAAAGTATTTTCTGTAACCTTTTTCTGTAACCTTACTCCTTATTTGACCCACAGTCCTCCCAGAGGCCCATCCATCAGCCTGGGAAACTTGATACTAAAGCATAATTAAAATGAATGCATTCAGACCTCAGTAAAAAGACTGAAAAACCCTGCAATGTTGCACATATCTATTCATTTATATTTACTGTTCAGATGCTTTTATTTGTAAAAGCAATCGAGTCATGAGCACCCCTATCCTCAGAAGAATGTAATGCCATCATGGAAGTCAGCATGTAGTTGAAGTCTGCATCTTCCCTTCTAATTACAGTGAGTGACGTCTCTTTGTTGATTCAACTCTATGTTTCACTGATCTTGAGCAAATACATTTAAAATTCCTTTTTCAGAGATGAGCTTGAGGCACGGAGATCAGGCAGGGCTATGAATCTGGCTTTGTACCATCTCCACTGTTTTTCAGCTCTGCGGTCTGATCCACTACACCAGAGGATCGTTCCCTCACAGTGGCACGAAATGTGGACCTTACATTTTTAAAGACCTATTTAAAAAAGCTGCCTTTTAAGATAGGCGAGGTGAGCTACCTAGGTGTTCTTATGTGAGTAAAATCTGGCAGACTGGGTGATCCATCTGAATGGGTAATTAATTCACTTAAGTCTACAGTATGAGATACACACCGATACTACAGAACAAATTATTTGTAACGTTTTGTAAGTACTGAAATTAATGTTGTATGAATTTGTCACTTCAACAAAAAAGTTATGGATTGTTTGTATTATAATTTCATCTTGTTAATGTAAAAGTAGGAATTTTGCTTTCCCTGGCCTCTTGGGAAGCAAAAAAACAGTGTATCTAATTATCTGAACACTCAGGAACATAAAAGAATAGCAAGCGGTGAAATTATAAATCTGTTGGAACAACTCCATCTTTTCTGATTAAACTCTATTCTGGTGGCTCTCAGCAATCATGTTCCTCCTATGTTCATAGTAATTGCATGTGTCAAAGCTGAGGCCTTGTGTAAACTGTACCAAATGAGTTACAATTTTAATTTAGAAGGAGATAACTGTATTTGCCCCTGCAGGCAGATTGCATCAGGTTAGAAGTATAAAAACGAATAAGAAAGAGAGTAGGGAGGAGGCTGGAGGGCCTCCAGGTTAATAATAAGTAGAAAATCTAATAAGGCTTATATTACAACAGTTGAATTTTAGGGGAGGGGGAGAAAAAATGTAATTTGCAAACATGAAGCCAAACTGTTACTTGCATCCGATCCATGTGTATGAGTGCACATTAGTGCACGTGGGTACGTCTGGTTTCAGTACAGAGCTATCTTTGTATTTTATAGTTGAAGCCTACACTGCACTTTACACCTAGTACTACACTGATGAAAAAATTTGAAAAAAAAGTTTTCAAAAACTTGGAAGCTCTCAAAACCTGGTGTATTTTCACTATTTAAAAATACCTATTCAATCCCTATAATTGCATTATATTTCAGATCATTCCTGGTTTAAGCAATGCACTAGAAAATTGTCTCAATGTTACATTACATTTTGAAGAGATTAGTGTCCTCACAAAGAATATTTTTTTTTTCTGAATCTGAAATATTATTTTTTATTTGAAATTTTAATCAAGATATTAGAAATATTTATGAATATGGCTATGAGGCTACAGTAATTATGTGTATATTTGAAAGCAATCGCTTTAGCAATGACTATATGCTGTCAGTAATTTTGCTTAGTACTCTGGGCTGTGGAAATTGTTTCTGCCTGACCTTCTGTACAGAAGACCAGTAAAACCCCTGGGTTGTTTGAAAAGAATGAGCTGGTACTATTGCTTATAATTAAGACTTCATTTAATTTCTCTACAGCCTTGCAAAATTTCACCTTTAAGGAGCCTGCTTCAAGCTGATTCTGTGTTTCTGCATGTTTGATTTTCACCTGAAATAGTCCAGTCATTTCCCAGAGTGAGATTACAAGAAGAAGCCTGTTTTGTACCTGTTAACATTTTCTTTATAATTGCTTCATTAAGAAGCCGTAGTTCCTTCGTGTTTTCAGTGCAGGATAGTTGATTTGAAGACCATGAGAGATGGATAATCTGCTACTTCCTCTATTGCCATGTTTCAGAGGTAAACTACCCTCACCATTAAAATATTCTGCCTGTTTCATCATGTGAATGTGTCAGGCTTTAGCTTTCAGCCTTTATTTCTTGTTGCACTTTTCACTGGCAGTTTCAAAAGATACTTAATACCTGTATTAGTATTTTTCCCTCACAGAGATAATTATACTGTGTAATCATTTGTCCCCTGTCTTCTCTTTGATAGGTCCAAGAGATTGAGATCTTAAAGTCTCTCTCTCACTCTCAGAGGCATTTTTTGCAGTTTTTGAATGTTTTTTTAACCTTTGAACCATTTGGAAATTATGTGCTGCAAGTGCCAGTGTAACGCTTTCACTGCATTTCTTTATTTAAAAGGAAAGGTGGTCCTAGTGAATTTTTACTATCCATTACATTAATTTATTCTGAAATGTTTCCTGCACTCACTTCAGTTTGAGATCTGTTCCCCCCAGATAATGGACCTCCCTGGTCTTCATCATCACCAACACGGACAACTTGCCTTTTCTGCAAGGTCCAGTACCTCCATGCATGCTGTAGATGCACCTCTCGTCTGTGTTGGACCCACTGCTCTCTGACAGTCTTTATGCCTTCAGAGCTCTGCACGCAGCCATTCAGTCAAGACATAAAATGTTTTATCAAGAGCTTCAGGACAGAGCTGATGTGTTTGGGCTTTATTTCTAGGTGTTTGGTGTTTTGTTTGTTTATTTATTTATTTATAATTTTCCCATTGAGTTGTATCAATTTTTCATTGTTTTGATCATGTAACCCACTGAACAGGTATGAACCAGAATCTGCAAAGACAGGAAAATGGAGTAAGAATTCAGGAAACACAGAAATGTCAGTCTTCTTTCCACAAATGGCCTTCATGCATCGTCTTTTTTGGGTAGGATGCAGGCTGGGGACTCGAGGGGATTACACAAAATTATTAGATTTCCTTTTGTAAAATATCAGTTCTGCATTATAGTGAAGGCAAGGCTTTCAGGTGCCAAATGTGAAACTTTAAAAATTGGTTAGATCAGCAATTATTCCAACAATGTTAGAACAATTCCAGAAAACTAGTATATATAATCTAAATGGTAGCCTTCTTTAAATCTTTCTTTGACTTTACATATGTCAGCCATGATTACAGACTCCAAAAAGCCTGATGAAATCTGAGAACTGAGCACATTTTCCACCAGCATATTTGCATAAATATATCGCAACACATTTATTTATCATGTCTATTTGTTTTTTGGTTTTGTGTGTCACTTTTGAGCAGGATGACCTAACAATCCATCAAGAATACCGAAGTCTGTAACTTAATAGTTTGAAATTGATTGTGGCACTGATTTAATATTTGAAGAAGGATGAGAAGATGGTAAACAATGTGGGCAGAAATCAGCTCCTTTTCAGAGAGAAGCTTTAATGTAGTTTTGTGCCAAAATGAACCACAGATGTAAATGGGTTCATGCATTTTAGATAAAGGGAAGTATTATTCAAACTAAGGGGAGTAAAATAAATTATAGGTTATATGCTCCTTAGCAAACAGTTCTATCATTTCCATTTCAATCTCCTATAAAAAAATTTCCTAGGATAATTTCTGAATGGCTGAAGGCAGATAGAAATACTTTAGTCTTTTGGCAAACAAAACTAGTTCACAGTAGAGTCACCTGCAGTGTTTTGTAAAGTGGTGGTTTTTTACAAATCAGGATTCATTCCATAGAAAAACTCCCACCCCCCAATTTCTAGAGAGAAAATCTTTTTCTCTCCTGTATTACTCAAAAGAAAAAATGCCTTTAATATGAGAGCCAACATGAATTTATATAATCAGACAATTTACCATGAAGTATTCAAAACCAGAATAACATGACAAATTACAGTTTAGTGATCCTCTTGGAGTTTCAAAATGACATAATTAAATGTTTATCCTGTTCCATGTGGTCTGTTAGCAAACATATTTCCATTGGATATGGGCCTTGCATTTTCTCAGAAATAAATAGTTGTCTAGCATTGGGAGACATTTAATAGCAAATGTAAATAAGCAACTAGAAGCAGCCTTCTTTTTCTGCATTGTAGCTTTTATTTATATGTTGGAAAAATCTTTATGTAATAATCACATGCACAAAAACTTCTTGTATGCAGGCGGTTACTGCTTATTTTGATATTAGTAGTTTTGCAAATGAGCATTTAGATTAAAGTCCATGAGATGTGAATTCTAATAAATGACAATGGCCTAAATTTTCTTCTCTACTATCATCTAACATGAGTGACTATATTAAAGCAACTGAAGCTGCTGCAGATTTGCATCAGCATTAAAATAAAGTGGAATCTTTCTCGAAGTAATGTAATGAGTTCCTTCATCCTGCTTAATCCCATTTCACTGCAGCAGCATACTGCAGCTCATATGCTGTTAATTACTGTTAGTGAAACATACTTGACTTCAATTGCTCCTCAGAGCACCACTCCCTGATTCCAAGTGACTTTGTGTGAAGTGGAGATCTTTTCTGATTAACAACAAACAAAAAATTATGCTGTGTCTGCGTTCATTATTGCCATAGACTATTAGTTGTTTCTTTCAAATCTGAACAACGGTTTGTTTACAGGTTTCTTTTTCTGGAAAATTATTGTAGGACTTCATTCTTTGCATGAGTAAAAGTCAACTCCATTCTTTTTTTTTTTTCAAAATATCGTACAAAATTTGGGTAAAAAAACTATAATTCAACCTTAAAAATATTGCAAGTTTGGGGGTTTTTTTGGTTTTAGTTTTAGAAAGATTATACATTCATTGGTACAACTTTGAATAGTATAAGTACATATATTTCTAATATTTAAATCATTGTGATATAACCACAATATACTATGATATTACAAGCTATGGATTTGAAAGGCTTATTATTCTTTCAAAGCTCACTTGAGTGTCTCCGTTTTGCCACTTTTATTACTGATAGCTCTGCCCTGTTTATGAGGCTCCCTGATTTCTTACTATAAACCAAAAGCAGTTTCCATCCTCTTCATCTAAACATCCTTCTTTGAGATTTGAGTCCACTGACAAGTAAAAATGTTACTGATTTTAGGCATCTCAGAAATACCAGGCCTTGGGGTTGAGATGGGGGTGGAGACAAAAAAGAAAAAAAGGGAGCAGTGGTTCTCATCTTCCGTGGCAGCCTTTTACCTTCAGCCTGTCCCTTCTGTGTGTACCCGGGGCCACTCTCGAGGCTGCCATCCTGTCCCCTTTTCCCTACACCACCCCTCCAGGCTGACCACGGCAGCAATTGCTGCAGCCTCTCCCTGACTTCTGCCTGGGAGAGCTCAAACCAGCCAGGCATGCTATCGCTGCGAAAGGATACACACAAACCCAGAGCCAGCAAAAACATTCGCGGTTTATACACAACTCTGCTTCTCCTTGCCCGTGTTCAACCATCTGACAGAGTAACGGTCCCCACTGCGTAAATGACCATTCCTTTTCACTGCTGATTGGTCTTTGGGCTCCTTGCACAGCCATAATCCTCCTGTATTTTCCTTCAGAGCTGACAGGGAAATACTGAGGAATATTATCCTGACAGCTGATCCCTGGGAGGCTTTGTTAGGAAACCCCTTATTATCGATGAGTCTTCATTAACAAGTGTATTTGGGCAACCATCTTTTAGCCATTTTGCAACCAGTCTAATATGACTAATGATTTCTATAGTGAATTTGTATTAAAATGCTGTTCATTACTAAACAGAAATCATCAGAGGCAAAGCTTGTTTTTATCGCCATGCTTAACACTAATATTTAATAAAAATGTAATGAAATTCAATGCAGATTGAAATGGGACACAAACAATGTGTTGTGATGACAGTCCAAGGGAATTCCTTAATGTCCATTTTGTCATCAAGTCATCAGTCCCTGAAATCAGATTTGTTGACCCTAGAGGGAATCACCAAGATATAAAATTTGTAACCATGGCATTCTATCTTTTTAGCAGAAAGTCCCCACTCAAAATTGCACTGCTGTATATACAGCACGAGTATAATTTTGTCTTGCACAACAAAGATTAAGGTGAAGGCTAATCCATTTTTGTGACAAATCTTCACAGTGGTGTCAAGCCCTGACCCAAACTGGACTCATGCCACTCATTTGGATTTACTCCCAAAATCAGAATGAACTAACAACCAGAGTCAATCACAGTGTTTGTAACAGTGATGAGGCTGGTAAAAAAGACCTTCTTTTTTTTTTTCTTTTTTTCCTGAGACTCTTCAAATACAGATTCTAAAGAGCCTAAAACTGAAGAAATGGCATTGCTGTGCTGTTTGTAGTGTATATCCCCAACATTATCACATGATGAAAAATGAAGACAAGCTTTCATGTACACAAGTGTTACTGTGCCCCAAAACCTAACATTTTTTTTCCAAATATGAGTTGGTCTAATAAGGGATGATGATTACAGATCTTGCCATGCTTATGTCCTTAGACCATCAGAGCTACCATAACACCAGAATACTATGTGTGCTGTCTGCAAAGAAAGGTTGTGTAGCTAGCCTTTGTTTTTCAGTAGCTGGCAATCATCAACAAATATACTGCTCTTTTTCACAACACTGTAACAACACCAGTTTTCTCAGTTGTCAAGACTTTCTTATGGTGTTTCTCTCTGAGAATCAGTGAGCCCTACCATGGAGCTCTCTTGCTCTTTTCTTTTAATTTTCAATAAATAAATTTTGAAAGTCTTCAAGGTTTAATGCAACAGATGTTGAGGCAATTAGCATAGATTGAAACATACAATAAAACACTGTTTTTGGAATAATGGATGGGCAATACAATGACACTTTCTCCATAAGTTTTCAGTAAAGCAACAAAATAATTGTGCATATTAGCTATGGC